AGATATTTAAGAGTTCCATAAATCAAACAAAAATATAGAATAACAAAAAAAATTGCAATGTAAAACGCCAGATCTATTATATCACATAACACAATAATTAACCAACCGAAAGTACGCAGAATCATCATCATGCAACATTTCAAAAATACTATGTACAAAAAGTCCATTCTTGCAGCAGCCATTTGCCACTAGAACATCATTTTTGGTGATAACAAATTTGTCAACCAAAAGTAACTTTAACCCCAACTTTTCCCAAAAGAGACGGAAACTAAATTAGTTCAAATCTCGGGCGCATGAACAAGTCATTTAGTGATAAAGTTTTTCCCGAAGTGAGCTTAATCATCTCCTATTGTAGTATAGAAGGCAAACACATTTTTGTTTTTACAAATATGCTTGGTAGCCCCGGAGTCTCCACCACTCATTCACATCATTAGTTTTACAACTTTGAGAAACAACCGCAATAAAATTATCATCACTACAAACCAAGTTTAAACTTGTTTTTCATAATTGTCATTTTACCACTAAATAAACGAATAACATTTTTGTTAAAGAATAGTGTTAAAGTATGGCTTATTGTAAGTAGAAAATTAAATTGAGTAATCATTATACGTAGGGATATATCTAATTACCAGTCTAAATCGCACCACCCATGCAAAGATAACATAGCCGCGATGAGTGCGATGACAACGCCTTGTGAGGTCACGTGCAGGCATATCTGATGCGAAATACTTTCTTGAAATTATTGGTGTAATTCGGTCGGATAAACTTGCAAAAAACGATATAAATAATGATATATCTCGAATTGCGTAAACGCTGTCATCAAGAAAGTATTTCCGACTAGCGAAAACCTTTCCCCAAGATAGAATGAGTTATTCGGCGTAAACCGATAACAGAACAACGAGAGTGAAAATTATATTAATCCAACAGAGTGAAAATATTAGGGATGTTTTAGCTCAAAATTAAAGTTTTCCTAACCACATATATAAACTTAAAACTCCAACAAAAGAAAGCTAGAAACGTACGTTGGTAGCAGATGAGTAAAACTCCGCATCATTTAAGAATAAAGTTTGTATTAGTAAATACCATTATTATAGTAATAAACATGATTAATAATGACATTAATAATAAAGACTCTCAAACGTTGGTTAGCAACGTTTAGAAAATAAGGGAGCTGTAACTGTTTCAAAAGAGCTTCAATGTGAAGCTTGATTAATTCATTTAAACAATAAAGTACAAAAATATTAGAGCTCCAAAGGTCCAAGAGAGGTAATCAAAATTAAGATTTTCTCACTAAAATAAATAATAAAATATTATTCATTTGAAATACTCTCAAATATATGTCTCCAACATATCGATCACTAAATTGCACTATAATCATAACATAATGCGTAAAATTGCATGTACTTTCGTGGTTGAATTTGTTGAGGATGACAATTTCAGTTTATTTGCATAAAAGTAATTATCTTTGTTTTATTAATAAAATTTACTTTAATATATAATTATGTAGTATTTCACAATGCAACAGATTCAGCCAGTTCTCCCATTTCAGCAACAAATTCAACAATTTCAGCAGGTTCAACCAAATTTATTATCACCAAATGACTTCCGAATATGTTTTTTTAAATGAGTAAATTCCCTAAATATGAATAAAAAAGTTTTGAAATTTCAAAATAGGGCTATCATGTTTTTATTCCCTAAATAGGAGTAAATTTCTGCCAAGTTTGGCGTTACTAGGTTTTCAAACATGACATTTTTTTCTAAACTTGGCAGATTACTCTTATTCAAAGAATAAAAAACATGATACTCCTATTTTGAAATTTCAAAACGTTTTTACTTCTATTTAGGACAATTTCTATTTTTAAATATATGTGTGTGTGGGCGTGTGTTTCTTTTATCTGTCCTTCTTATACAATTGAAACATACATATGTAACATGATATATATAAGATGACTTAATTCAAGAGAAAAAAAATTACGAATCTAAAAATTAATAAAAAAAGTAAGTTGAAAATCTTCTTTATGATTCCGTACAAGTAAAAAATTTAAAAATCCCGGCCAAAGTGCCAAACGAAAGGATCCTCGGATATAAATGTTTTAATTTTAATAAAAAGAACCGACTCAAATCAGCAATAAAACACCAATATATAAAAATAAAAAATAATTATATATATATATGATAAAAATAAGTGTTCTATATAAAAATTGTGTCATCTTAAGTGTATAGTACTATATTAGTAACTTTAGTCATAATTAATAACTTATGTACAAGTTTTACACTTAAGTGATCGTGACAATATATTAAAGTAACTTTGAATTATATTTTCATAATTAAATTTTATTTCAGTATTATTGTTAAGTAAACCTCCACAATCAAGAGTGCATTCTTACTACTCTTTACTCTTTAGTTAATTATACATAAAACATACTTCATCCTTTCTTAAATAAATGCAACTGTTAACTTTTCACATCTGTCGAGACACAACTTTGACCGTTAATATATATAATTCTTTATCAGTAAAAAAATTAAAAAATTAGATTTTGAAAATTTATAATGAGACAAATCTAACAATATTTTTTCAAAATATATATAAAATATATATTAATAAATAAAACGTGATCAAAGTAGAACATGTGAATATTGTAAAATTCAACATGTTGCACTTATTTGTGAACGGAGATAGTACAACTTACAGGTATTTATTTTGTTCACTAACAATATAATATCTCATCGTTACTACCGGTGGGCGTAGCTCAACTGATAGAAGGGAGTGCCACAAAGGTTAGGTCCCGGATTCGAATACCGCCAACAGCGATGAAAAGTTACTATGCCACACTCTGTAGGGGTTGGGGGGCCTCATGATTGAGTTGTCATCCTTTTTTTTTTTGTATCATCGTTACTGAAGTGCCTAACATTTTTGTCATACTTTTGAAGCAACGGCGGCAAACTCTTATTCTCGGAATGAGAAGGCAGGGAGCTGGGCTGCAAAACTGCTTGTCACAGCTATGGCCACGGCGTTTTTTATTGTTGAAGTGGTCTGATCATATATATCACCCATAAGTATTGCCAAAAATTGAACTACAAGATCAAGCCGGCCGGCCTTCTCAATTATGTTATATACTCCGATTCATACTCAATTTAATTTGCAATATCAAAATTTCATGGCTTTGTGTTTACTTTGTGAAAGTACTCTTAAATTTTAATTTTAGTTAATTGTTTTAATTCGTGTTTATTTATTTCATCTTTCTGTAGAAAGTATCAACCTTTTTTATACGAGTATATAAAATGATTCTGGTACTCTCTTAGCTTTTTGATACCTAGTAATTAATTATTTAATTTTTACATGCTCCGCAATTGTCATATTTAATAACTCCTGTGTGGTTCAGATTTACGTGACAATAAAAGTGTCACTAATATATACGGAGTATCAAATACCTTGTGGTCTGATGGTAGCAAATCAGTAAGATTGTTAAATTACTCTACAGGATTAACAAATCTAAAAGAATTCATAAGATCTTCTTCTTTTAATTTATGTCCAGTCTAATTGTAGACTATACATTCATTCTATTTCTTTACTAGAAAATGGTCAAAATAGAATATGAAGTTCTTTCATGTGGAGTAAATATTATTTCATTTTACACTTGAAACTACAAAGTACATGAACTTGCACTTTTAAAGTCGATTAAGCACATTTTCTCTATTAGAATGGTAGAATAAGTGACATGGTCAAACTATCAGTTTGTAATATATCGTTGCAGTCCAAGTCATCAAATAATCAATTTATAAACTCCAATTTCCTCCCGTCCACTTGTTTCCACCTTCGCTCTTCATCTTAGATTTCTCATGTTTTTTCTCCATTCTCTTCACTCTTCATCTTATATTTCTCTCGTCTGCTCTCTAAGGGTGGAGCGAGGGCAATAGGTCAGACCGGACCAATATAAAGAATATTTTTGGGGGGAAAATTACACAATTTTTTTATTTTAAAATTAAGGCATTTTTTAAATTTCGGGTGGACCAGAACCTAGGTTGACCTGACCCCCTCTAGCTCCGCCCCTGCTGCTCTCCTTCTCTCTCGGCTCATCTCCTTGCTATCCTGCCGACATCTTCTTTTATTTGCTATCTGTCCATCTTTCGTATAGTAAGAGAAGAAGAAAATAAAATAGAGGAAAAAGAAGCCGAAAGAAAGCAAGGAGAGTAGACGAGAGAAATATAAGATGTAGAGAGTGAAGAGAAAGAAGAGCAGACGAAAAAAATATTACTCCCTCCGTCCCGCTAACAATGAGACAAGAGAGAGCGGCACGCAAATCAATAAAAAGTGGTTTATGTGGTTGATATTGAATTGATAAAGTAAGAATAAAGTAAGAATGATTTAGAGCCACACAACTTTGCCAAATTTGGTATGTGATAATCTTAGTTGGACGGACCGATAAAGTAAAACGGGACAATTATAGCGGGACGGAGGTAGTAGATGATAAGTGAATGCGAAAAGGAGTGGACGGGAGAAAAATAGAGTTTCTAGATTAATTATTTGATGACTTGACTTGCAACTGTATAAAACAAACCGATAGTTTGACCAAGTTAACTATTTTAACGTTCTGACATAGCAGATGTACTTGATCGATTATAAAAATACAAGTTCATTTACTTTAAAATTTGAAATCCAAGATAAAGTTCTACTTACTCCCGTCGAAACAATTTGATGAACCATTTTTACCAATTTCTCATTTCTTTACCATCGATGAATAATTAATTATTTCAAAAAAAGGATGACACCCAATCTCTGAGGACCCCCAACCCCGACCGAACGGTACTTTGGGAGAATGTAAGTTGGACTATAATCACAATTTGACAGATAGAGAGTGAGACTCTGTACCCGATGCACCCCAGAGTGTATGCATTTTTAGCACAGTAACTTGTTGAACTTATTCGAATCCATGACCCGTACTCCTTTACCCATTGAGCTACGCCAGCCCGTATATACTTCCGGTATTAACTCCAAATATTCAAAAGGAAAGAGGAAGCCACCGCCGAGCGAAGAACTTCTCGAAGCCTCAATCAATCACAGGCATTCACAGCCATCTCCGGTTAGGCAGGGAGGACGTGAGTATAACCGTCCATCCTTGATCGCTTCTGGTCGATCATCCACAGAAATAGGGAAGAATAAAGGCTTCATGACAATCCGCCGTCTATTAGGATCCACACCTCGTATCATTGTCCTCTTGTACAGTTCTATTCTTCTAAGCTGGATTCCAGGTAACCTAAAAACGGCAACATACATTGCTTTGTTGACCTTATAGATTTCGATCGGGACATTTTATGAATCTCGGAGTTTTCTAATTCTGCACGTGGAGGAACCGGTAATCAACATATTGAATAAGATTTTTTCTAAATGGCTTTGCAGAACCGGTAACAGCGGCAGTTGTTACACTTGATTCTATTCAAATATTCCAGACTCATGAGCTGTTCGGTCGCAGTCCGACTGTTTACTTTCAGTGTAAAGGGGAAAACAAGACAATCTTGCCTGATGTGAAGAAAAAAGACATTCTCTATGACTTCAAAGGGGAGGAGTCTTGGCAGGTTTGTCATGATTTGTGTATATAGATTCTCCGTATATAATACTCCTTACTTCGTAATTCTTAGTTTTTTTCAATTGACAGTTCACAGTAGATCATGACTTGAAATGAGCTTTTCAGAGCCTATCACGGTTTAGCTGTTATTTTGGCCACGTTTCATGATGCTCAAGTTCCTAAGTTTTTTCGTCATAAAAGACGCCCAGTCCCTCCTTTAAGTTAAGCAATGTTAATGAGATTATTAAGTTGGCATTAACAAGTGATTCCTCCACTTCAGAGGCAAACATTAAGTTGTTGGTTGATAGGTGAGTCTGAGTTTGGGTAACTATTTTCACATGGTATGTAAGCGTGCGAGAAAGTTATCTACCATTCTACTTTGTTAATGAGTTTTTTGAGTTCTTAATTAAACCACATCTTCATTTCTCTTGAAATACATAAAACGGTCTGAACCACAGCAAATGTTTTTTGTGAAAACCTTATGTTTCAGCTTTACTTGGGAGTTAGGGAAAGAGCAAACATCTTCTGATTCATCATACCATTTTCATTTTTAAAAGCACTTGGATGCAAAAGAGCAAAACACTTGAAATAAGCAAACATTTTCAGGTGTGTTGACTATTTCAAATGTTTTGCTCTTTGTTTAAGTGTCTGGTCGTGTTGTTAGTAGTGTAATTGCACTTGGATTAAATCCAGTTCGAAAGCAACCTTTTCTGCTAACACCCAACAAAAGAGGATGCGATTATTAACCCATTATAGTCTATAGAGACCTTCATTTGTTAATATGTGATTGTTTTGCACATACACTTAGGAAAATAATTTATAGCTTTATTCATCCGGACCAGTATAGATTTGTATGTATCAACACCCTAGGTTTCTCATTGAAGTGTCATATTATGTGTGTTCATGGTGTGCCCCATATGAATTTACTTGGAAAGGTCATCAGAAGTTAGAACAATAATAATACAGACTATTGGAATTGTATTTATCTTGCAGCCATTGACACAACTTTTAGATAAGAAATGCAAGCGGTGTGGGTTCTATGAGGAAGATACAATAAAATCAGATGATGTGTTTGATGAGTGGGAATTTTGCGCATCTGAGTTTACAAGTGCTGATGGAAAATACACCCATTTCAAGGAGAAAGAGTTCAATGCAACATTTTGGTGTCCAGAGTGTGTCCCTCTTGTAGGCGGTGGGTGTTTCTCCTCTTCTCTCCCTCATACGGAGTACTAATTATCTGTTAATACACCTTTAGGCATAGGTGAATGGTTCCACAGGTTATTCATACTTTGTCCTTCCACCAATATGATTGATTTTTCTCTTAGGCAATGCCAGGGAAAAGAAAATTACTTTTTTGTGCAAGGTTTTACCTAAAATGTGCAAATGAAATATGAATTGATGTTTTTAGTTTTTTTGCAGCCCGTAAAGATTAGAAATAAACAAATCAGACGAATTTCAATAAAAACCTGAAATAAATTTAATCAGGTCTGAACCGGTGTTTTATCCTCCCAAGTCCCAACCTAAACTTAGTTATGCTCACTAGCTTTCTCCTTGTTCCAAATGGGGCCTAACTTTAAGTCTCATACGGAGTATATTTTTGTAGCACCTGTTCACTCTTATTCCCAAAATGAGCAAAAGGGAATGAGCTGGACAATAGTACTGCTCATGGTAGCTTTGGCCTCGGTGATTTTAGTTCTTGGAGGGGTAATCGCTCACAGGTATTGGCAAAAAAGGAAAAGGCAACAAGATCAAGCACGCTTCCTCAAACTATTTGAAGAACAGGATGATGACATGGATGATGAATTGGGAATAGGGCCCCTCACCAATGTCATATAAATATGAACATATGTATACTTTTCACTAACTTCAGAGCATTTTTTGTTTTTGGAAGCGATATATGATCATATTTTCATTTGTATAGAGCAAAAGTTAGTAATTGAAGTCTCTGCATGCATTTGCTGTATAGAACTATTGCAGGTTACGTTATAGAAACACAAAATGCAAATCATACTCACACGAGCTCATCTTTGTTGTTTAACACCTTTAATGGAAACAATTCATGCTTAATAAGTTGCAAATTAAATGCTAGGATGCCCACTTCCAAGGACGAGACTATGATCGTGTAGGAGGATGGATGTTGGGCTAAGCCTCAATCTGGTTTTTGTGATTGAAAAGGACGGACCTGCTCCTGGTTTTGGACCTGAACCAAACTTGTCCCCTATTAGTCTTTTACCTGACCAGTATGGGTGAAATGCAGGATTTGAAATGCATGTGCCAATCCATCAAGTCCTATCGATGCATGCTTGAAATTTGAATTTAATGAAACAACTAAACAGCCCATGTCATAGAAAAATCAAACTAGAGAAGTTGGTTTAGTGCTTGTCTATGTTAAGATTTATATTGTGAATTTATGATTCCAACTACATAACACTGATTACATGAATGCTTCAAAACTCGTAACTCCTTTTTTTTTACTATTATGTTGATGATGAGCTTCGTATTGCTAGATTGAAACGGTCCAGTTCTGTGGAGCTTGATCCATGCACTGCTTTGATCGTGTCTATGCAGCAACTGCGATTGTAGAAAAGCAAACTTAGGTGTTTTTCTCTTTAACTTATTTTTTAATCGTTTATTCTCATTTCTGAAAAAATCAAACTAGAGTAGAAACATTTTAATCAAACTAGAGCAAGGATTCTGATCAAACTAGATCAGACAAGAAAATAACTTAAGATTGGCCACCAAAAAGGTTCAAACTAGACCACATGATCACATCAAACAAAACAAAAAACATACTCTGTACAATCTAGAGCACCCGAAAAAGAGACTATCAATTTTCATGCAGAGTGGGAAAGAAACACCTAAATTATACGGAGTACCAAAGAGAATACAATGCAGAAACTGTTTATGCAAAAAGACCTGCAAGCTTCCTTGTTGAACTTTTTCTTGTCAATTCCATACAATGCCTCAAATATTTCTGGCTCTACCCGACAAAAATATGGCCGTTCTATGATAAAAACAGGAAAAAAGAGAAGTCATAAACATTGCTAAAGAATGGTAAAAATGAATAATAAAACTAAGTCAAAGCAAGAAATTGACCGGCATATCTAGAACACATTCTTGTGCTCTTTTCGTAGTGTATGCACCAACCATCTTCACCCACCAAACTTTTATACAACTGAAATCATAAAATCCATCCATGGCTGTAATAAACTTCACATTCATACAAATACAGAATGGCTAGTTATAGTAGTCAAAAACCAGACCTGAATGTCCGATGGGTCATCGAAAATTTCTTCCGGCGAGGGAAAGTTTTGGCCTTTATCAAGTTTACAGCACGCTCCACAGTTCTGTACGCATTTCCACACCGTAATTTTCTTCCCGCTTCCAAATCCTGATGAACTCTTTGTCATTGAGATGCCGGCGTTCGAGTGTTCAGTCGGATTCGAGATTTGTTTTGCCTTATCGGCGTTGTTGGAGTTTCTTCGCCGCCGAGAACGACTAACTGCCGAGCGAACTACTGCGAAACGCGGCGGCGCCACCGCTGCTGACAAAAACGACATTCCGGTCGGCCCTTATTATTGCGACGACAGGATGAGTCCGTTTTCACGAGGGCGATGTCCATGTTTGGCCCATTCAATATGGACTGAGGCTGTTGTGCTCTCTAAATGGGCTTTTGTAAATGTGCCCATTCACGCGATGTTATATTAAATTGAAATCAAACATTCCAACATCATCAATAACCAAGTATTTGTCTAGATTTCTTATAGCCAATAAGTCAACTCACTCCGTTCAGACATGAAATAGACCACATAAAATGAGCAGTGTTAATCGCTAAACATGCAAGAGCTTTGAAGTTATTATCGGTCAAATTAGCATGATTGCTTTCACTCATTCTCACAACGAAAAACACCCACAACTCACAATTATTCACTGAATAAAAATGTTACGAAAAATAAAACATACAAATGGAAAAGAAAAGTGGTTTGAAAAATTAAAAATTAGATTGTTTGATGAAAATGATTTTTTTAACATACAAATTGAAAAGTAGACTAAATCACGCCTTTCCGATGTTTGAGCTTTGAGGCTGCAAAATGTTTAATTTAAAAGCTAAAAGGTTAATAAGAGCATTTTTTTAAGCAAAACAAAACATTCACCTAGTACTCACATTAAAATTGTGTGACTTTTTTTTTTACTCCAGGGGTCTGGGGAAGGGGTTGAGGGGCACGGAGTAATCAGGATTGAAACTCACTTCATTGAATTTCAGACCCTTGTGTACCTAGTGAGTTTCGACTCGAGACCTCCCACTAGGCACGGTAACTTTTATTCTCTTATTTAGTTATTTCAAATTTTAAATGCGGTTGATTACTCGATTAAATCTCTAAAATTATTACCATCCATAAGTTTGTATGGATCAACTGAACACACTCAAGCTCCAATTTTGCAATCTTGTAGAATTTTTAGTGCAGTTTTGAAGTATAAGAGTTTGATAAAATAAGCTACTGAGATAATTGTGCGAACTATTTCTCAAGTGCCAGACACATATACATACTCTTTTTGTTGAATTATTCATGGATTTTTTTAAACTGGAAAGTCTTTCTAGACTAGCTGTATGAAATAATAATATACGAGTACTTCATACGATACTACGATAGTATAAAACAAACAGACATGGAACACTACTCCCACTTTCATTTTAATATTTCTCACAAACTTACACTTCAAAAGTAGTTATAGCATGTAAACAAAATGCAAATAGATTGCAAATAACCCCCCACCCAAAAAAAAAAACAAGAGCAAATTAAATTAAAGTTGATTTTTTAATATTTAAGAAACTGAGCCCATATTTTTATTATTTTTGTCTCTGCAGGACTGCAGCTAAGAGTGAGATCATAATGAAATATGTATCTTCTGGTTAGCTAGACTGACTCATTGCCATATACAATTGAGCTACTTTCTCTTGTTTTTGCTTCCAACCAACAAAGTAAAATAAAAGAGAACTCTAAAGAAAAAACCCCAAGCAATGGTGACCCAAAGGCAACTCCATTTGTCAAGATCAGTGAGCCCAGACTGCTTCAGTATATCAGTCCCATTAGTCAAACAAGTTGACGCAGTAATATTCATCCCCAACGTCTCACTCATCTTCTCCAGCAGCTTCAGCTTCATCTCTTTCGGGACGCCATTCAATGGCGACCCCTCAAAAATCTCCACACCCTTCACAAAACACCCCTTCGAGTCACTGAACTCGTTTTGCAAAACCCCTTGAAAGGGGTACTTCACAAACGACGCGTAGTGGAACCATATCCAGTAAGGCGGAATTCTGTCTCTGCTTATGAAGAAGCCGCTAAAGAGGACGAAGTAGGCGAGGATCGCCACGACCACAGTGTACCCCACCATGACATTGTAGATTACCCCAGACAGGAACGTCACGAAAGACGAACCTGCCCAAAAGGACAAGAAAATGAAGAGCAAGAAGAAAAAGAAGCCCGGGATCCCACCTGCTAGGCTCACGGCCCAATAGGTGGTTGTCGAGAATGCAATCGAGAGGAAGGCTAGGGATGGGAGGGAGATTATAGAGTGAGAGAGGACATATGAAGATCGACGGTAGGCGTTGTGGGAAGTTTCCCTCAAGAAAATGTCCCTTTCTTGGAGGAAAACAGGAATTGCGTCAGCACAAGTGTAGAACTTGGTGGACATGGGGAAAGCGAAGAACCCTAGCGTATAAAATTCAACAGGACACTAATACGTAGCATAGTGCAGTAAGGTTCATATCCACAGGGAAATGAATACTTTTCTTTTTATAGAACTAGTAACAAAAAGGGGGTTTTAGTTTGATTTGATTTAATTAATTAAACACGAAGATGAACGAATTATGTGGTTTACTTAATAGAGATGAAGACTTGGCTTTGCTTTTATACACTTTATGAAATGTTCGTCGATCTCGGTTATATCTTTAACTATCTTCCTCTCGAATACTCAATCGAGGAATATATCCAGTTCATCGAAGGTAGTTATTAATAACGAGACGCGTTCATTAATAAAATTTACTATCGAGTCAATATAGTACACGCGCCGTATATTACTCCGATAGTAGCAATAAAATCAAGATGAAAACGATTGAGATTGATAACCTCAACACAAGCGGTTTATTGGTTTAATCAACGTAATTAATTCCTCTTGATTTATTAACCATGAAACGCATGCATTAATAACTCAAGTTTACTACCGCGAAACGATCGAACAATTAACAAACGTATTCGTCAATCGATTCTAGTAATAATTAATATATAAACAAAACTAGTTGATCCTTTAAGTAATGCTCAAAATATTAATATGAAATATGAATAGGAATTAATTAATACTCAAGGAAGAATATTAAAGAAGATGAATCCTACTATAGTTAATATCAAGATGTTAACTAATTGTCATCTTAGTACAGTGGCGGACCCAGAGATTTGTCGGAGTAGGGGCACACTAGTAGTGTAATTCTTGGCCAGAAGCGGGGTACTGATTTTACTCTAAGTACTAGTAGTGAAATTACTGGCCAAAAGCGGGGGCACTTGCCCCCCTAGGCCCCTCCCTAGGTCCTCCACTGTCTTAGTAACACTCCCCAATATTAACATAGAGGAAGAAATAACTATTACAATAATTAATGTCAAGATGTTAACTAATTGTCATCTTAGTAACACTCCCCAACATTGATATAGAAATAGTATTTAAAGGAACAATTAATATTCAAGGAAGAAGATTAAAGAAAATAACTCACAACTTACAAATTCATTAAGATTCAAAGTAGAAAAACCAAGATATGGAAGTTTAGCTCCTCATTTGGAGACTAAACATGCTATAAAAATATAAAAGAAATACTATTCTAAACTGAGCTTATGAGTATGGAAGAAGGGATGAATAAAAGTGAAGGAAAAGTGTGCTATTTATAGCTGTTTGTCAACACCCTAGGCCGGGTACCCGACCGGGTTAGGCACCTACCCGACCGGGTGCATGTCAAGATCAGATAATCCGCCATGTTCTCATGTTTCTGCACGTCAATTTGTCCCGGGTCATGTCTGCCCGACCGGGTGGCATAGGGGACCCGACCGGGTCTGTGTAATTTCCACCTTCGTCTGTTAAATCTTACCCGACCGGGTCAAGTGTTATGCACGGTCGGGTTTCACCTCCTGGACAGTCGAATCTCCTTTTTCTTCACTTCAAAGTCCTCCTTTTTAACACCATAATTCCTAATTCTACTTTACAACTTATAAATGAAGATTTAAAATACAATTACAACTAAAATCACACAAATGTTTACAAACTAAATAAAACGGTAAACAATCAGCACAAATCAAACATAAAAAGATACGTTTATGCACTACTAATCAGTGCATATCAATCATCTCCTTCTACATTTCTGCTTTGGAGAAAATAAAAACATTTTTGAATAAATTGCATCATATACATTAAATCAAAATATATTCAGTTATATAGAATGATTAAAATCAATATTAGCAAGCTTAGCTGCAACAAGCTCTTCTGCAGCCCAAATCCCTAATCAATTCAACCCAAGAATAAAAAAAAGAGATTGAAAAATGTTAGGTTTACTTACAAATAGAAATTGATTTGGAAGTTGGAGGTGCCTGACCACCCCTCTCCTCCAACCGAGGAGTATATCCAATTTATCGAGGGTAGTTATTAACAACGTGTAACATCGACCCCGAGCATATTTACTTTTAGTAAATTATGTAATAAACCTTGAAAGATGATTTATGAATTTGCGTAATTGTAAATTTTTATTATTTCTTTTACGTGAATAGTAAATTGCATGTGGGGCCCACAGCGGGAACGGGGACAGCCCGATAATTCCCGAACCACATATTATATTCATCTTGGTCTAGATAATATATATATGGTGGTGGATATTTTATTTGGGCCTTAAGAAAGGCATGGAGTTGACCGGTTGGTCAAACGGGGCCCAATTACCGGTATTGGTAATTTAGCGGATAACAGCCCGAAATGAGTTTCGGGGACTCCTAAATTAATGTTGGGGAATGTACATCGTTTCTAAAGGCCCAAAAATTGTTGGGAACGCGTGGTATATTTTATCCGGCCCGATAAAATAAAATATGACTAAAGTAGTCCGAAAAATACAACTTTCGGGGCCAATTATACACACCGGGACATAATGGGATGACCTCCCACATAAGTGGGGGCCACCCCACGACCCAATGTTCTGCAAATGACAAGGAAACAACAGGGGGGTGTACCTAGTAGGTGGGAAGTCTCCAAGAGACAAAATCCCATACCCCCATGTCCTTGCATGCATTATTTTGGTGAGTTGAGTGGATGGAGATACATCTCCCTCACTCATTGTGCAGCATTCGGCCCTATCACTAGGAGAGAGCTCTAGGAAGGCCTTCTCATCAAGACCAAGCTCAAAGAATGCAAGGAGGAAGGGAAATCCAAAAGGGAAAGCTAGGAGAAGGGGTAAGAACACAATTTCTACTCTTTAACTAGTTTTATGGTGTATGATTTTTAGGAAATCATGTGGTGGATTAAACATGATGTTCTACACGTTTAAAAGTGTAGAATATTGATATAAAGTGGTGATATTTAACTTAGAAGAGTTGGTGAATCGATAGGAGTCGAAATCGCCGGAAACCGCCACTTTAAGGGAGCTGCTCGTTTCTGCAGACCACGAAAGCCGCCCGGCTTTCGTGAAAGCCGCCCGGCTTTTGCCCAGCAGGTCAGTTTTACACCTCCAATCGGCCTAGAACGGGGATTGATCGAGGGGCTTAACAAAGGCAACTATTGTAGCACATCACGAGGTGAGGATGGCTGACTATATTGCTTATAATTAGTGAGTTAATTTCATAAGAATGCCTAAAGTAATTAGATGGAAGTTTCATGGATTTTTAATGATTAATAATGCCTAAATGAAAATAATATGGATATGAGTAAGTGAAGCATGATATACAAATTTAGAATAATTGTGTATGATTATGTGAAATGAATGGGACGGCATATTAATGGAATTACTATGATGACATTGTGTTAAAATATACTTTACTTCATGTATGAAATTCATGAATGGATTATAGTGATATTTTTGATATTGAGATCAAACTATACTTGGGTTGAGAAATCAATGGAAATGAAATGCCAATTGGGAAATAGGAACTTGGCATGTTCTAAGATTATCCAATTAGTATCAAAATACTAGTCGGGGAATTAATATAAATAAATGATGAAACAAATCCTAAGAGATAGGATTGTGAATAGATATGCCTTAAGTAGTCTCAAGAGATACTTAAGGAGGAATGGTATGAACACTAAGGTGTGATAGGGGTAGGCCTAAAGGCCACCTACGAGAATTGATTCTAGGCATAGGACTTGCTTGAGAATTTGATTATGAAAATAATTAGAGTTGGACTCTAGGATGACATGGAGATGTAGTTGGGCCGAGCCCATGCCATGTAATATGATTAGCATGGAAACGTAGTTGGGTCGAGCCCTTGCCATGTATATGTGACCTCCGTGGAAACGTAGTTGGGCCGAGCCCTTGCCACAAAGTTATGGTTGGTATGGAAACGTAGTTGGGCCGAGCCCTTGCCATACAAACTTTGATATGATATATTGAGCTAGAGGATTGTATAGAGATGTAGTTGGGCCGAGCCCATGCTATACAATTGGGGCTCGTTGGGACCCCACGGGGTTATCGTGACTTGCGGTCACGGGGAAATGGAAACGATGAAATATAAATGAATATGGGCCTACGGGCCGACTACTTGACTTTATATAAAGTAAGTACAGTTAAAAGAAAACGGGGTAACCGAGGGTTATGGCCTATAATATAATAGTACCCTAAGTTGAGGGTCTTGGAAATTAAAACGTTGATTATACTTAGTATAGTTGCTATTGTACTTGTCAAATATTTCCAAGTACTGACCTCCCCTTCACGAGGGAGGCCACCTCACAGTTTCAGGTAGAACTTGAAGGTTGCTACCATCGCCCGTGGCTTCACGAGGATCAAGGGGAGAAGACGTGGTCCGTGCTTCTTCCGTTCTGTTTTAAAACAATTACGTTAATGCTCATGGATACTATTTTCTTAATAATTACTTTGGGGGCTTGTATGCCTAGTTATGCCAAGTGTGGCTTGAACAATTGTATTAATGCTTCCGCTGTTTTAAATGCATGTTTTACATTATGTTTGTTTATGGATTTACTATGTGTGAATGATATTCATGACGCCTTGTATAGCATGGATGAGTTGGACTGCGGTTGACTATTCGTACTGTACGACGGGTTGTTGACGTGTCCGGCTAGGTCCGGGGCGTGACAATTTAATTGGTATCAGAGCCTTAGTCCGTAAACATCATAATGAAGCTTCAAAATTCTTTTTGAAAATGAAATTGAAAACCATGAGCATAAAGTTTTGTACTTATAGAACTTTTGGTACTTGAGTTGCAATGTCTCTAATTGTTAAGATGGTACCCTTAGCAATTGGTATGGCGGTGATTTGAGCCAAAGGATGTCTTTATGTACCTATCCGTCAATTGACATTTGATACGAGTCTAATGACTCATTCTCAATTTCTTTCAGAAATGGAACGTACCGGGAAAGTAACTAGAAGAAACCCGACTGGCCGAGCACCGGGAGGATCCGTGCAAGGCAGTAGAGGGACTTCTAGGGGGTCCAGAGGACAAGGC